TAGTTTAATCGGGTTTACTAAAAAGGCTCAAACTCGATCCGGCTCACAATTTATGGAGCTCGTCTCAAATAAAATCGGGCCGAGCCATCGGGCTCCGGGCAGGCCCGACTCAATTGCCGGTCCTACTTGTAATAGATTTGAATTTACTCAAAAAAAAATATCAAATTCAATTTAATGATAGGCTATTTATAGTAAACAGACAAAATTTAGGGGCTCAATTATTAATATAACAGAAGTTTAAGGGTGATCATAAAAATAACCAACTTCCTCCCTCTTTTTCACACTCATACATACTGTTGTCATACACTGGGAATAACATCCAGTTTTAAAACCTTGCTCCGTATTCAGATCCATTACGATAAATAAATTTCAATCTCAGTTCATAATCAAATTCTTTTTTTTTTTTTGGGGATAAATTGTCGGACCGATTACAGAGTTCGATGAGGCTGTTGCATTTAGCTTTTGTTGTTGCTTTGGTATCTGGATTTTCTGCCATTCTCGTTTACATCAATGGCGTTTCCAATCTGGGTAATTTATTTATTTTTCTTATAAATTTTTAAGATTAAATTCAATCATCACTTCGTTTTTTCTCTCTCTAGATTGATGAACTTGGACGGAATTTTATGTATAAATTCGAGAATACGTGTGCTTTATTTATGTGCAGATGGGTCGTTTAGTATTTCTAGTGAAGATCTGGAAGCGCTGAAATCACTGCGGATTCATTTCCAGAAGTGTGTGGTGAGTTTCTCTTTTTTTCAATTCTCATTGTTTTTTTGTTCTTTCATGGTAAATAGGAAGTGTTAATTAGAAATTTGTTTGTGAATGTTTGGGGAAAAAGTTAGGGATGGGGCTGAAATTGTTTGAATTTTGATTTTGTTTCTTGCAATATGTTAATGGCTAATTTGGTCTTCTGTTTTCGAGTATCGCATCAAAGGATATCTATATTATGTGCATTTTTATTAATAAAAAGAGAGAGCGGAAATAATAAATTGATCGAGATTCGTCAGCCATGATTTAGCATATATTGATTGTTTGTCTCAATATAATCGATTCCGTACTTCATATGGAAATTCATCTTATTTGATGTATTTAACTATATAATGAGCTGTAGCCCAATTTGTATAATTATATGGTAAAGATGTTTTACTTAGTCTGCGTACGTCGTAGTCCGTTTAATAGATTGTGTTACTTAGTCTGTGTACGTCGTAGTTGGTTTAATAGATTGTGCACCATGCAGAGTGCAAATGGATTAGGTTTACAAGCTGTACCTGGGAAGGATAATTGCGAGGTTTCTCTAAAATTTCCTCAAGACACGATTCCGAAATGGGTAAATTTCCGTGTTCCGGTTTTTTTTAATTGTCTTTTGCAATATATCAGGATTCCGGGTCCATATTGCAATTGCATGATTACTCTCTCCACTTGTAGAAAGTCAGTCCTATAAAATTTGGAGATTGTACATTATAGAAATTTAGATTCATAATGTCCTTGGTTTTAAAGAGTGAGATGTATACTATCCACATTTTTTTGTCGTCAGTCTTTCTTACAAAAGCTCATTTGTTAAACATCTAAACAGAAAGATCCCAAAACAGGTGAACTCGAAGGCTTGACTTTTGACTTTAACCTATGTGAAGCAGTAGCTACGTGGGAACAGGTCAGTGTCCTTTCCGCAGAATTTGTTTTACTAAGAATGCCTTTCGATTATATCATCTCAAAAGAATAACGACTAATAATCAGAAAGTTAGCATGTGACATGTTGCAATTATTGGAGAAAATATTAGGCATGCGGCTGTTAGAAAAATATTAAGCATGTCAATATTAGAAATTATTTTTGCTCCGATTTTTCATCAGGATGCATAATCTTTGTTTTAAAAGATCTAAGGGTTTCTTTTTTCTTCTTTGTATTATTTTGTATGCTACAATTGATTTGTTATTTAGTGAGGTCTTGCTCAGGTGCGGAATAGTACCACAATACTGACTCGAGAGTTCATTGATGCTTTACCTAATGGATGGGAAGAATATGCTTGGCAGAGGATCAATAAGGGAATAAATCTGTAAGTTGTGCTGTGATGTTCTCGTGTGTCTCTCTCTTTCACCATTCCTTGATGAATCATTGGTCTGAAAGTTAAACTTATTTGCTTCAGGAATAGATGTGAGAATAAAACACTGTGTGTGGAGAAACTCTCTCTGGTTCTGCCAGACAGACCACCCTATATACCAAGACAGTTTGGTCGATGTGCTGTCATTGGTAACTCAGGAGATCTCCTGAAAACGAAATTCGGCAAAGAAATAGATGGTTATGATGCAGTTATAAGGGAGAACGGAGCACCTATACAGGTTAATATTCAGTGTTACCATCTTTCTCGATTTACTATAAATCTATATTTTCTCTCACTCTTTTCTATTACATTTTCGTTAAGCCAGAACTATACAGACTATGTTGGTACAAAAAGCACATTTCGCCTGCTCAACAGGGGCTCAGCTAAAGCGCTTGATAAAGTTGCGGAGTTGTATGGTACTAACACATCAGTATCTTTAGCTCTTATTCCCATATTTCTACATGCTAATATTTTCTTGAATCTGCAGATAAGGGAAAGGAGGTCTTGTTAGTCAAAACAACAATACACGATATCATGAACAAGATGATCCGGGTCTGTACATATTTCATATTGTTTGAGTAAATAAATTAACTTAGATATTCTTCCAAGTAGTTCTCTATTTTTTGACTGATATTTTTCGCATGTTCATTGCAAGTCGCACTAGTTTTTCCTCAGAAAAATAAATTATACATTTAGGACAAATTTGCTGGTGTTAGTGAATAGTTTGCTGTTGACTTGTGGAAAAATCTCACATAGTATTTGAATTTTGACTCCGTAGGAAGTTCCTATTCTGAATCGTGTATATCTCATGCTGGGTGCATCCTTTGGATCAGCTGCAAAAGGTACTGGGCTGAAGGCTCTTGAGTTTGCTCTCTCCACATGTGACACTGTTGACATGTATGGTTTCACTGTCGACCCTGGTTACAAAGAATGGTGAGTAATCGCTGGAATAAGTTAAGAAATGAAAATTGCATTGGGTTTTGTACTGTTTATCTAAAGATGGAATCTTAATATAATCTCAGGACAAGATATTTCTCAGAGTCTCGACAAGGTCATACCCCTCTGCAGGGTAGGGCTTACTACCAAATGATGGAATGCCTTGGAGTAAGTCCCAACTTTATTATTACTATTTTATTTTATTTTATTTTGAATGCTGAAAAGCTCTGATCAATACAAGATAAGATCATTGTGATGTATTTGCGTTTGTGCCTGCATCTTCACGATAGAAAACTTATCTCTAATCGCACATTTCATTCCTCAATTTTTTGACGTTTTGTTGCTTACTTTTTAGTGTGTTATAGTTGTAATTATGTTTTTCTAATTGGTTATAAAAATCCTTAGTCTTTGGTGGGTTGAATTATTTGAAAACGAAGGATTAAAATCCACAATGGAAAGCCAGTATCTGGAAAAACTTTTGAGTTAGTATGATTTTAAATCCCTCAATACCCATATCGAGGTTTTCTCGATTCTTAGCTCTAAGTTATTTTCTCAGATAATATCATCTTATCCAAACGCAGCCTAAAAGATCCTACTCGTTTTGACATGTCTTCCCGTTGCTAGTTTTCACCTCTAATATTCGTTATCTTTTGTGTTCAATAAGCTTATTAAAATCCATTCTCCAATGAGGGCGGATCCAAATCGAGTTGTCAAGTGGGTCCCGAGCCATAGTTTGATTACTGCTGCTCGTATTGCATCAGAGAAGTTGTTAAGGTAATTATTCTGCAGTTGCTTTCTCTCTTACCGCAACTCAATTTTATCTTGCTTATTATTTGCCCCTCTGCTTCAAGTGTTTAAGGTCAAGCACAATGATATGAAATCTTATAGTTCAGTTGCAATCTTATTATCGTCTAATTGTCGAATTGACTTTTTTAATAAGCCAAGATTATTGGACTAACCAAACATCAAATAAAGCCCAATTATTTAATTTTATTTTGTTTGTCTATAGGAGAATTGGAGCTGGATCTTCGGATCCACTAGCGGCATGTTCGATAATCGAGAAGCAAATCAATGGAAAGTTTGGAGTGGAATCGGGCTCGAGAAAAGCAGCCGTTGAACATCACAAATATGTAAAAGGCACCACTATGTATCCTTTGGAACACAATCCAGGGCATGGTCTCCTCTGCACAGTGCCACAAAGATTATGAAACCGACTTTTTTTTATTTAATTTTTTTTTCTTTTTTTTTTTCTTTTCTAAAAAGAAGATGAAGAAATCGACTTGTCCGGGTTATGTACTGTAATTCTTTTTGATAGGGAGAAAAGTGCCACTAATTTTATGAGGCCAATTATATTCATGTGCAGTTGTTGTATATGATTCTGCATGCAAACCATTTTTTTGCTTCAAAGGGGTGCCAAATGCTTTATTTTCTTAATTAATTTATGTGAGTATGTGTGTGTGTCTCTATATATATATATTATATAATCCAATAGGACAAGGAACAGTTCAATAAACTTGAATAATTAACGTTAAAATCTCTATAAATTAATACAGTCGGGACTAGAAAATTCTATTAATTTAGCAAATTATTAAATTATCGAGTTAATGATTAAATACGTTTTTACCGAGTCGGGATTGAGAGAAACTATTTTTTAATTGAAGTTATTAATTTATCGAGATTCTACTGTATATAATATTTGGAATTTATTTATACGAAAAGGTTTTAGTTTTTATATCATAAATATTTTGAACGGCGCTTGGAGAGACAACCTCCGGTTATGATGAGATGGAACCCGCCAACTTAGGGAAGGTTTAAAATTAACTTTGATGCGGCTTTTCCCAATAGAGTGAGCTATTATTAACATTGTAAAATGTTAAACATTGACGAATTTTTATATCTAGCTAGTTTGTTCGAGTCATGTGTTTTTTCGTTTGTTAAGCGCTCCGACAATTAACTAGGGCATATTTTTGCTACTAAGTTTAGATATTCTTGTAATAACCCACTACAAAGGTTGAAAACCACTTATATATTACTATTTCATTAAGTTAGTAACACTTCTCCCTTATGATTAATTTTGGGGCTAATATTGTACGAGTGACTAGAAAGAAGAAAAAAAAAAAAACATGTTTAGTATTTAAATTTGTTAAATAAGAAATTTTATAGACAAATTACATATAATGTTATAATTTAATATATTTGATACAAGATCTAATCTAAGGAATCAAAGATTTTACTAACTAAAAATTAGTTAGTCAAAGAGGAATTAATAAAATCTTAATTTTTTTGTAATTATTTTGGAATTGAAGATTGGATAGAAAATCGGAATATCAAGGGCTAGAAATCGGAATGGAATTTCCGAATTCCGCCAATTCCCATCAGAAAATATAAGAATCTGGAATCGTATTTTTCATTCCCATTTTCGAAGTTCCAATTTTCGATTTTCCTGAATTGATTTGAAACGGATTCGGAATGGCATATAAAATTAACGGAAATTCCGATTTTCGATCTAATTTTAGTTCTTAATATTTCTATTATTTTTTGAAATATATAATATAATTTTATGATATATTTTGTAATTCCAAAATATAACTTAATGTTATATTTTATATGAAAAATATTAATATCGGAGGGTCAAGTAAATTAAACCTTAGAAAATATTAATTGGTATCATAAATTTTATGTTGTATTTTTCCTTATAAGAAAATCTATATTTCAATTTGTTTTTCCTATATGTTTTTTTATTTATTGCGTTTTGTCGAACTATCTTTTGGATTTTCTTGCATTTTCCTGCAAAATTTCAAAAACGAGAAAAAATATTGTTGAAAATTTCCATTATAAAATATTGTAAATTTTGAAATTCCACCGATTCTAGGGCATTCTAAAATATGAATGAATTTTTTCATTCCGATTTTTTTTGGAACGGAAATTGGAACCCATTTTTTACTTCAAAAAAATGATTTTTTTTTTTCCGAAAAAACTATTTCCAATTCATTTCATCTAATTTTGACCCTTAAGAATATCATATGTATTTCAATTTCCAATAAGAAAAAGATCAAAAGAATCGATTATGAGAATTATCGAATTTAAAATAAAAAACATTATTTCAAAATTGAAACTTTTCGAATTCGAAAACTCCGTTCCAATTCCGACTCCAGTCAGAGATGAAAGCTTGTACCAAAAGGCGAAATCCCTCGCCCCCAGGGCCCCCATCCCTTGGACCGACAAGAGTTCGAGATGAAAGGTGTAATATTATTCAGATTAATAAAATATGATTTCAGTATCTCAATAAAAATGTGATTATTATAATTATAATTATTATTTGGGATGTAATAAATGTTGTTCGAGCTTTAATAATACTATTATAACTTCAAACGTGATTTTGATCATTTTTAATTCCAAATTTTGCAAAACCCGAAAAATAGAATTTGCAGTATTCTGAGTTAGTTTTCTAATCCAACTTGAATCACCAAAATTGAATGTCGGACGAGAAAGATACACATGAATCAATGGATACTGCCCACAACTTTGATGTATTGAGGTATCTAAAATTCAAAATGTGACTCATTCATGCATAACTTTGTCATACGGCATCCAATCTAACGGATTTAAGTTGGATTAGAAAGCTAACTCAAATGACTACAGTTTTCATGTCCAATTTTACCAAACTCAAAATAAAATATATCAAAATCAGGGTCGAAATCAAAACGACATTTAACATTTTAGTTATTATTTTAATAGTAACAACATGAGACAATCTAGTACCCAAATTGAAGAATCAAGCAAAATATTCCTCAACAAATAAATCATTGATTAAACAACGTGTCTCCTCATTTTCCCTTGTCTCCACACACACACACTCACACACTCAGCAGTCACCACTCTTTTCATTCGCCGGCTGCTCCATTAAATTTCTCACCCCACCACCGCTTCGGTTTCTCATTCTCTTTTTCTGTGATTTTTCATTTTGCTGCTTTTTTTCTCTCACAGGAAAACCCACATAAATCTCTTGACTTCATGCACAAAGAAAAAGAAGGAATTTCACCGGAGCTACAGCCGCGGGGAAGAATGCAGGACGGCGGCGGCGGCGGCAGCGGAGGAGGAGGGGTTTCCACTCAGGAGGCGGCGCCCACGAAGCGGGTGCGGCGGCCGAATGTGAGACTGAACCAGCCCTATTACGTGAACGCCGCCCACGGCCGTGGCCCCGTGCAGCAGCGGTGGGATGCTTTCAAGAAAGACTTGGAGGGAGCCAGAAAATCGAAAACCCTCAAAACTTGTAATTCGAAAAACGGTAAATTGATCAATGCCGAAGGAACAAAGGGCTCGAATCTCGATAATGATGATGATGATGATGATGATGATGATGATATGGTTATAGGGAGTTGGAAGAATTTGAATTCATCGAAAAGGGATAGCGGATTCGGCTCGAAATCGAAGCGGAAGCGAGCGGGGCCCTCGAATTTCAAGAAACGGCTTTCCTCAGAATCCATCAATAAGAAAGACGAAAAATTTGAAGTGTCCAACGTCAGCGAAAGTGAAAATCGAAGAGCCGAAGAAGAAGAGGAAGAGAATTCGGGTGCTAATGGGGCCCACATGAATCTTGAAGTGTCGTTCGACAATGAGAAACTAACCGATGGCGATAATGATTACGATGGCGACAATGTAGTTGAAAAACAGGGGAAGTTGATGAGTGGCGATCACGATTTGGTGGATGGAGAAGAAAAGAACGGTGTGAGGGTTTGGTTGAATGAATTAGGGTTAGGCAAATACGCCAACATATTCGAGTTTCATGAAGTGGATGATGCGATTTTGCCGTTTTTGACTTTTGAAGATCTAAAGGAAATGGGAATTGGTGCGGTTGGATCGAGGAGGAAAATGTACCGTTCGATTCAGAAGCTCGGTCAAGGGTTTTCTTGAAATTCCGTCTAGTGGATAATGGCAAGAAATCGAAGCAACAAACGAGCGTAGAAGTGGGGGTTTTTTGACATCCGCAAGTTCGAGTTTTTGTTTTGGACATATTTATATATACTCTTGCAGCCTTTAGCATATATATATATATATATATATATATATATATATATATATAGGTGAAGTTAGATATAGTGTTTGGTGGTTATTGTGTTGTTTTTGCAGGTTATGGTAATGTAGTTTTGTGGATGGCTGACTTTTAGGGGTATACTTTTGCTCTTATCATGGTGGTATATATATATATATATATATATATATATATATATATATATATATATATATAGCTTTAGTTGGAAGAACGTAGATAAAATCGTAATCGACTCTTTTGTAAGCACTTTTGTAATCGATGATTTGTGCTATATACGCATATTGTGTTCTTATGTGTTTTGTGTTGATGTGTAGTTGGTGCATTGTGAATTTCGTGCTTGATGGTTTTTTGGCACTAAAATCTTATGCAAGTTTATTACGTAATATGCCGTTTCGATTTTGCTGGGGCCTGCAATATAATTGTTGTTTGTCGATTAAGAATCATTTGCAGGTATATCTAATATTTCACATGATTTTTTATTGAAATGAAAATTAGTGTTGCGAGAAAAGTTCGATGTACTTACATTTTATAGCGACACCGAGAATATTTGCAACAACTGAATCGATTTTCGCAGAATTTCGAGACCTGTTTAATCCACGGCAGTAACACTTGTATCGAAAACGAAAACTTATATTCCTGAGAGTGAAATTACAGACAAGAAGAAACATATATAATTTAGAACTTCATTACTTGTAACAAAGCACAAAATTACAAACTATATGTACAAACAACATAACAAAATTTCACAGGTAAAAAATGTGCTGCAGCCAATGGGGGGGCTACAAAAATGATATACTATTGTACTGATGGAAACAATTTCTAAAAACCTACTTTTGCAAATTTTATCGACTCTTGCTATAAAAAGGAAACGAGATTTTCTTGCTATTCCAGCTTAACTCTGTCTCCCTCCAGCTGCTGTTTCTTTGGCTCGGCAGGGAAGTATTTTATACCTACGAGATCTCCTACTGTGCTGATAACCTGATACACAGTGTCAAATATATTAATTACAGAAAATAAAAAATAAAAAAAATGTAATAGATACTAAATACCATAACTATATGCAAGCTCGACGGAACTAAATCGGCTCCATATATCTATCTATTTACAACTATTTCTCATGTTAAGATGAAGGCAGCATATATTATGCTAGAACGGTGAAACAAATCCAACCTTGCCAGTTTTCTATCGATGTTTCTTGTCGTTTCTTTTGATTCTAAATTGTAAGTCTATAAACAGAAGGCGTTGATAATTCATAAAATATTTGTCATACGGTCTCGTTTGGTTTCCAGGATACGATTATGCAATCTTCTGATAACTAGATTGTATAATTGGACTAGGGGAGGTCAAAAACACAATCCCTAATAAGCTGCGATATGAGCTCATTTTTTCTGTAACTTCGGGCGTATAACCAAACATCAAACAAAATCTTATTATTTAATCAATCATGGCTTTTCTTAGTAACCAAACGAGGCCTAAGTATAATTCAGGAAGAGAAATGCAGAGGGTGGACTAAGAAGGGAAAAGAAAGTTGACTCATATGAGATAAGACTCTAACCTCCAAAGCTTTGACAAGGTCTTCCCTTGAATGAGCGGCGGAGATGCAAATGCGGGCGCGTGCTAACAGTAAAGGAGTGGCAGGAAAAGCAACAGTCACAACAGCCACCTACATCCAAGATCGACGAGTTATGACTTAGAGCACAAAGTCGTAAACAAAAAAAAAAAAAAAAAAAAAAAAAAAAAAAAAAAAAAAAACTTTTCGCAGATGATAATAAATTTTTATTAGAAATGAAAATTTAAACAATGCCTACATTTCGTTTGAGGCATTCTCGTGAAAAGGCGGGAATTTTTGCTGGATTATAGAGCATTATGGGCATGACAGGAGAATCATTATCACCCAGAACCTCAAAACCCATTTTCTGCAGTTCGGACCTGAAAAAGTTGCTATTCTCGCGAATCTTGGCTAGTTTCTGAGCCCCTGTGTTAACAAATTACACATATGTGAGTCGTGATTGGACGTACTAGATAGCAATGACTTAAGACATGATTTTAGGAGCAATCAGAAGGAAAACGAAACTCCACCTCTGCTAGAACCATCTTCTCCAAGAAGAACTTTAATGGAAGAAATAATTTGCTGAGCTGCAGGTGGTGATATTGATGTCGCATAAAGATGAGCAGGGCAAGTGTACTTCAAGAATTGAATAAGTTCCTGAAAATGTGCAATGATGCGTTAGTATGAGCCTTAATAAAGAGATTCACAGAGTAGTAACATGAATAACATGTGAGGAAGTAGTCAGTCCTTTGCATGCAAAATTTCATCAGGGAGAGAGGAATTATCGGCATCTTTCATGGAAAAAACTACCTGTTTTTTCCTTCTCATGTGTCCAATATAATATGATTTCAGGTGATTTTTTAATGATCATGCAAAAGGAAAGAAGATATAACATCCAGAATAAAATCCAATAAGTTCCTAACAACAAATGGAAACCACCTATAAACAGGCATTTCACATTTCTCATGTTAACTTCCCGTAAATTTGAATAATCAGATGTCTAAGACGAAAAAGAATATAACATTGTTCTGTTGAGATTATAAAACACTCCATACAGAATGTTTACAAGCATATTTGAATAGTAATTATTACGAACCTGAGATCCTGCAATATATCCACCACATGATCCAAATGATTTAGTGAAAGTTCCCATCATAATATCAACATCTGAGGTATCAACGCCTAAGAGCTCACAGACACCCCTTCCACTTTTTCCAACAGCCCCGATGCTGTGAGCCTCATCTAGATACACGTATGCCTGTCATAAAGCAAAATCATACAGTGCTGATTTAATTGAATCAGAACAGCAAACGGCAAAAATAAAAATACGTAAGTTGTTATTTAGCAGGCTTCAAATGCTGAAGTCAGATATCTTTATCACTAGAAATAGGAGTAATGCACAGGTAGTAGGTATTCATGTCCATTTTACAGTTATTCCTTTTATTTTCCCTTCATAAATTCATATTCTGTTACAATGAAGAGTAATCCTGGTTATCAAGGCCAGTTACTAACTCTCGTGATGAGGGTTGGTTTTTTAGATTCATTCTAGAGGAAAAGGCCGTTCAAAGTCAAAGGGTCAATCAAGAATAAGTTTAATGCAAATTTTTTGACGATTTGCGAACACAACAGACCGAACTTTTGTTTCAACTTTCAAGCGTACGACGACAGTGGTTACAGGTGATTATCACATACAAGACAAGCTACCTTCTATGGATATCTACCTTGTGTTTCTTGCATATGGAAACAATTTCAGGGAGCTGGCAAAGTTCCCCTTCCATGCTGTAGATTCCCTCCACCACGACCATTATCTTTTTCCAAGGCCTGTGCGTTCTAGGCTGCCCCTCAGCAATTTGTTCCCTCAGAACTTTCTCCAAATGAGATGGTGCTACAGGAAAAATAATAATCAATTCAATGCAAAAGGATCAAATATCCAATAATCTTTCAAGATATTTGGCTCAAAAGACAAATGAAAAAGGATCTTAAACTTACTGTTATGCTGAAAAACCCGAACAGTGGCCCCAGATCCTCGAGCACCGTTAACTATAGAGTTGTGGTTCAGAGAATCACTGATTATCAAACTTCCCTGCAAATGTTATAAAATAAGGACTCTATAGAATTGCAAACCATCAGATAAAACATAAGTCTAATTAACTGCTTGTACCTTCCCCATTAATACAGGAAGAATGGCTGAATTTGTTACATAACCCATCCCAAAAACAACGGCAGCCTGTTTTCCTAGAAAACTTGCAACACACTCCTCCAATTCGGCATGCAATGTGGTTGTGCCTGATGACATAGTGTGACTCATTTTGTTATAATAACAAGCAAAAGTAAGTATATGCTTTGATGGAATAATGTATAGCACCAAGGAAATAAATTAACCTCCATCAACCCGAGTACTACAGGTGCTCGGTGAAAATTTCTTCAAGGACTCAATCACACGAGGCGTACAGTATTCATCTGCTGCCGCAAATCCCAGATAGTTATACGATCCCAAGTTGAGGCATCTATTTACTTTTGTGGTTCGCCTATATAAGATATTGCTAAGTGAGGATATTATTTAAGAAGAAAAATGGCTTTTAAGTAGAAAAAAATCATCTACTAAAAAAAAAGATTCTATTCAATTTCTAAGTGCATGTGATGGCTTCATAATTCAAAATAATGTTGAAAAAATAAGCAATGAGACATAGTCTCAACTCGGAACTAGATACTTACAATAATGTTTTATTATTGTCATTGGACACACGCTCGACAACATCAAACCACGCATCGGGAGAGCTTGATATCGGTCTATTAAAGCAATCCTGCAAATCAAACGGATGTCAATTATTTGAACCCCATAATCTTTCTTTCGATGATGGAGAATGGAAATGCTAAAAAAATTCCGATTTCTGCAACTATAATTTCCTATTGATGAAGCTCCAGTCTCAACTCTCAAATCATTTTTTTTTTGAAAACCTCTTAACTTCTGGAGCCTAATATCAAATCGTAAACGAACAATCATTTAAAAACATATATAATAGATCACCTCGAATCCAACCAAAAACAAAGCTACAGAATCCAAAGAACAAAAAAAAAAAAAAAAAAAAGATGCTGCCGAGAACAAAAATGAAACCTGAATTCGCAGGTACAATCTCCGAATATAGAAATCCTCCAGACCAAGACAGATCGGCGCGTAGCCCTAACATAGTAAAACAAAAAAAGAACAACAACAACAGAAATATTTCAGATCAAAACCAAATTCGGCAGTCAAATATTTGAAAATATATATACATGTGTGTGTGTGTAGAAAGCGTGTAAAATACATACAATATAGCGATACCTGAAGGGTGCTTTTGGACCACCAATCGAAAATCTTGCGGAAAAAATCGCGCAGCTGGCCGAATGCGAAGAGGAGGCCGTAGCTGAAGTATGTGGTCAGCGCGGTGACGTAGGGAATCGTGATCATCTTGATGATTACGGCGGCGGCGGCGTTCTGATCTGGAGGATGCGGCGGAGGAGAGGATCGGAGCCTCCTTAGCTGAGATCCCGATACACAAGATAGAGAGAGAAAGTAGGTAAGAGAGAGAGAGAAAGGGGAGGAAGAAGAATGGAGGGAGAAGATTGGGTTTGACCCTTGCCCCTCCTTTTTACCGATTCCGATTTTCCTTCCTTTTTCTTTTCGATTTATCTTTTTCCTTTGCTTTTTTTCTATTTTATTTATTAAATAAATACATAAATAAAATAAAATAATTCCGAATCTTGTCAAAATTCTGGTCTGAAAGAAAGCTTCTGATTTCAATATGAATATTTTATTTCGATCATTTTTGTTGATTTTTAATTTTTTATTTTTCATAAAGTAAAAATATACTATCAAAAGTATTATAAATTTATAGATTTATATGATGTATCTGAAATATAATTTATGTTATTAAAAAATAAAGCATTTTTGTATGAAGGTTAAATTTTATGTGGTTCGTGAAATAGATAAATATTTTAAAGAAAATCGAAATTTCCCAAATTGTTGCGAAAATACTGAATAGCTTTTGAGTTTGGTTTTTTTCTTTTCCCACTTTTTTTTTTCATTATTAGTCTAAATTTAGTTTTATTTGTCAATGGAATGGTCAAATTTATTCTTTATAAAAAAAAAAAAAAAAAAAGAATGGTCAAATTTGAAGTCTTTTAAATAAGTCACCCTACAAATATTCAAATTTTCGAAAAGTTGGAATACTCGTGTAATTTGTATTTATTGTCGAAAATCAAACTAAACTATTCAGTATCTAATTTGAAATTGTCCTAAACTATTCGGTATCTAATTTGTAATTGTTCGTCGAAAACTCAACTGGGCTCGATTTGTTAACATATCGAACTTAACTTGGGCACATGTTGTCATTCAACAAGCTATGAAGTTCAACTCAAACTCGAGTACAGTTAGAAAAAAGAAAGATATGAAGAAGAATTCAAGTTATCCGACTTCGATTCGTTTTCGGCTCAATTAAAATTCGTCCAAGCTCAAATTAGTACAAAGTTGTAATCTTGAAAAAAATCGAAAAAACCTTAAATAAATGTTCGGTTCGATTCGACTCATTTACATCCATGGTTATTAAAATCTTATGATTTACGATTCAAATTCTACGATTCGATTGATTCCTACCTAAATCAATTCAAATCTATGATTTAATCTTAAATGTCAAATCGACTAAAACTTACAATTTACGATTCGAATTTTGTGATTTATGATGTTTATGATTTAAGAAAATTTAAGTTTATTATTGTATGTTCTATGATAAAAGTCAATTAAAAATATATTAGACTTAGTTAATTTGGTTAATACGTTTGTCAACACTTTCTCCCCCTAAAATACTATTAAAACAAGTATGAAAAGAAAATCGCAATACATTATTTTGATTATACTCCTCGTTTGTTTTATTCTAATTAGTACTCAGAATAAGTTTGTATTTTTCACTCGGATTTTTCACATGCCACCAATTTCAATAACATAAGTGAGCTTTATATACAACGTGTATTAGTTTATATTTAATTTACTCAATTCTTTATATTTTCCAAATAGTATTTGATATAGTTGTTATAATGTATTGATTTGAATGGGTTGAAAATTTTGTTAAAACACCTATTGAATTTTGATTTTAACTGATCAGAATAACTTTTATAGTTTGATTTCATAATTTTTAAAAGACATAGATTTTGTTATTACACTATATTATTTATATATCATTATTATCTTATATTAGCTTTGAAAGAATTAAAAATCTTACTACTTAGAGCATCTCCAACCATGTAGGTTTTGGAGAGGTAAAAGCTATAATGAAATGTTATTTGCGGTCACAAAATTGCTATTCGCGGTTTATAACAAAATCCCCCAAAACTTTTAGAAATATCCAAAAACCCCCCAAAACTGCAAATAGCAATAAAGAAAACCGAAAATTCGAAATCAAGCTTGAAGAAGGGTTGGGCTTCGATTTTTTGATGTAATTTCGACTCTTTTATGTGTAATATGCATTGGGTAGGTCCATTACGGAACCAATGTCATGTTAAAAAGCCCTACAAATCGATTTGTACGGCTTTTTTTTTCGCAAAAAAATGTTCGAACGCCGAAGATGGGCGCCCAAGGCGTGTACGAACGCCCGGTTGGGCGTTCGAACATTTAAAAAAAAAAAGAATTTGCACTAGACGCCCAACTCGGGCGCCCAAATGCAGCTTGCACGCCCAACTTGGGCGTGCACTGCATGAATGGGCGCCCAAGTTGGGCTTTTACGCGTTTTGGGAAGGTTTTTGGATTTTTTTGGGAAGTTTTGGGGTTTTAGTAAAATTAAGTGTTTTTTTGGGGGTTTTGTTATAAACCGTAAATAGCAATTTTCAAACCGCAAAAAGCAATTCCCAAGCTAAATTATAAATATTTTACCATCTCAAACCTACAAAACTTGCTCTAATGAAGAGAGCTATAATTTAGCCGGCTGCTGAATTCAATGACTCAGCTGATATATATGCCAGTTAACTATTCACATATGTTATCCAATATATTATTAAAATAATGCAGCCCCACCCCCACATTTTCACTATTCACGTGTAGTCAGCCTTTTTTTCCAAAGCCAAAGTTTAAAATTTTTAAGTTTATTTAATGCAATGTGTTTTTTTTTTTTTTATCTAATACTTTACCTGATGATAATAATGATAATAATAATAATAATAATAATAATAATAATAATAATAATAATAATAATAATAATAATAATAATCATATATATAAAAGAAAGAAACGTTGGGCAACCCTAAGAAACCCTAATGGCATTGTTGTAATTATTTATTTTTTGATATTTTTTTTATTAATTTTCTAATTATATTTTCAACAATTATCAAAATTGACACTGAACCGTGAATAATCGTTCCGGTTTCAATCTCCTATTTTTCATCAATATATTTATATCTCAAATCTAAAGAACTAAAGATAAAAATTCTATTTCTTAAATTGATCAATTTTTTCACTTTTAAAATCCGATTCCGTGCATCGCACGGGAAGAAAATGCTAGTAATAATAATAATAATAATAATAATAATAATAATAATAATAATAATAATAATAATAATAATAATAATAATAATAATAATAATAATAATAATAATAATAATAATAATAATAATAATAATAATAATAATAATAATAATTGTTGTTGTTGATGTTGTTATTATTATTATTATTATTTTCAATTTAAGTATACGAATTCCACACTAATACATTTTGGTAGTGAATGGTGTTCACAAGTCATTCCATGTAAATTCATTACATATTAGGTATTCAATAAATATTAGTAAGAGGTATATACGTGTTCATCCTAAAATCAGAAAAAATAAATATGATAGCTAGAGATTATAATATAACTGAGAGAACTTGTCACATGTCAATCGTTATCATATAATCGTGTCATAAGAACATACTTCAAAAAACAATTATAATATATTTCAATTGTATTATAAATGGTATAAATAAATACTCGTTACAATTTAAAATACAAAGTTTGGACTGAGAGGAAAAATATAATTTTTTTTTACATATATTTGAAAATTATTTAGCTCTGGAGTGCATAAAAATATTTGAAATATTATTTAAAAAAAAAGAAAAAAAAAAAGAAAAAAGAAATGCAAGTATTGAACATGGAAGAAGGAGGTGGTGCAGGTTAGCCGCCAAAAACAGCAGCATTCGAGTTTTAATTTCCGTTACAAGGTGATACGATTCTCTCCGCCTTCGTCTCTCTCTCTCTCTCTCTCTCTCTCTCATTCTCGGACTAACACGCAGACACACACACACACACACAGCTTGATTATATTCGTCATTTCCGATTTCCGAGGTTATCTACTACCATCTTTTTTCTTTGTGCAGATGAATGATTGTAGGTCACAGTAATTTCATAATTTCTTGAAGGGCAAATTACGGTCACCCAATGTAAGGTTAAATTACGAAAAATCCCCACTTGTTTGTATAATTTGCTCTAAACCATTAAGAGACAATTTTATTTAAATAAAATAGTCTAAACCCATAAAATTAATTATATTGGTAAAGTATAATAAATTCCTCAATGTAGTTAGGCCCTCTCTCTTTCTCTACCTTCTCCATGAACTACTATGTCAACCTAACAGCTACAAACAAAGCCAGTTCATTTTTTTTTCCGACCAAGTCTTGCTTTTAAACGGAAAGATAATACAGGCGATCAACGCCTTTTCTTGTTTCCAGTCGCAGATTTTGACGGAGAAATTACAACATTCGCGAAAAGGGCAACCAAGAGAATCACCGAAACATGCGACCCGTACCTTGCCACCAACCTCTGTAGAGAGAGAAAGAGAGAGATACACTGTTACATAACAGAAATCATTTGAAAACTAACTTAAAATCTAATTAAAGACAGAAGTTGTTACCTTTGCCTGAGTATTTATACATCACCGGGTAATTGTATCCATGGAGGAAGGTGAAAAAAAAATCAGTCAGCATCGATATAAACATGCATAAGAGGTAATCGAATCACAATGCTTAATAATGATAATAATAATTAATAAGTGCAATAATATTACAATTTCAATTTTCTCATTGTGCGTTGGTGCTGACAGAATTTTCACTGGCAGAATCGGGGTGGAATACGCTTCCTGAAAAAAAAATGATATCGTTACATGCAAGTTTATATATTTTTTTTCAATCGGGATATCGAAAAAAAATAAACGAAAAATAACCTGTAGCTTCGACTTTGTAGGAACTCGATAGGTGATCAAAGCAGGTGCCCCATAATAAACAGTTTTCACTTTAGATTCCAACTCAAACGAGTGCGACACAAGGGAACCACTGTGAGATTTAAAAAAAAAAATGAGTATCGTTAAACAAAAACAGATTTCAATAACCAAACTCAAAACAAAAATATATAATTGAATATTTTCGAAGCTTACGATTCAAGTTTTTCCCAGGTATTAGATGTGTTGCCAATAACAGAATCGAAAACCTCTTGAGCCCAGCTATCGTCGGTGAGTGTTACATCATATGCGGTTCTGAAAATCATAACAAATTGTTACTTTCCTTCGAAAAATATTTCAAACAAGTGCGCATATGCTAAAAAGGATATGCATCCAAAGATTTTCAAAATGTAGTGGAAATATTTATGAACTGAATCAAATGAAATTAGTGTATTTGGATCAAATTGCAGAAATCAGACTTACAAAAAGATGAATAAATCCGATTTCATGTTCTGCTTAATCACAGATTCGATTATGGATAAATAAACAATCAATAAATGATAGGGTACCATCAAATCAGATATACTAATTTGCTTTCACAATTTACCAAAAAGAGATTTGCAAATCAAAATAATTCCAAATTTTCAACATGCTATAATTTAATTCCATTTTTTTCATTTTAAGTCCAATTGCAAATCAAAATCAAAATGAGAAGAATTCGTCCAAAATTGAAACCTAAAACATGCAATGAACACTGATTAACGCTCTTTTATCTTCAATGATCAACAGATTTAATAAAAAAAAAACATAATTAACAGAAAGTAATGCAATTAACGAGAATTGTGTGAATAGATAATCAAACAAACAAAAATTTCAGCAGAAATTCAACAAATAAACACCATAACCAAAAACCAAAGGAAAATGAGAGAGAGAGAGAGAGAGAGAGAGAGAGAGAGAGAGAGAGAGAGAGAGAGAGAGAGAGAGAGAGAGAGAGAGAGAGAGAGAGGAATACTCGGATCCGGCGTTGTAAATGTCGATGGAGATGGAGAGCCGTTCCAGATCCGAATTCATCTTTTTCTGGGAAACCCTTCTATGGGCAACGATAAATGGTGAGTTGCCGGATTCCGCAAACGCCGCGGAACAAATGAAGATCATGGATAAGGCGGCTACAATCGTCAAAGAGAAAGCTTTCGCCATTGAAATCGACCGACGGGACTGAAATGGAGCTTTTTTCCTTTGGTTTTCTTCCGACTGTTTTCAGTCAACTTTTGTGCAGGGGAGAATGTGTGTGAGTTTTCTTATATATGCGGACGAAGAATTTAAGCGGGCCCAGATTTATAGGGCTTATGGGGGGCCCACTAGCCCAAACATTGAGGAAGTCTTTCTTTAAATAATAATAATAATTTGAGAAGTCTTTTCCTTGCCTTCTATATATTTTTTTCTTTTTGTTATTTACAAGCATTAGACTAACAAAAAAATCATTAAGTTAATCTTATAAGCTATTAAGAACAACTTATAAGATGTTTAAGAGCGATAGTACAAAGTGTTTTGTAAAAATCAAAAAGATCTTTAAATACAGAAAAATAAGTTGTTGTAGAGCTTAAAAAATCTTTTTTAAAAAGTACATGCGCTCCACATTTTTATTTAAGATCTTAAAAGCAATAAAAATATTATCTAAGCACTTATAAATATCAATTCTAAAAATAAGACGTAACAACACATTTACTCTTAAAAATAATTTATCAGATGTAAGAGTTTATCAATTATTTAAAATGAATTTAATGGTACAAATAAAACCTTTAAAAAAAGGGTATATGTAGAAGATAGAAAACAAATACATGCATGACCAAAATTTAGTACCAACTTTTGGACAATGAAAAATTAGTACTTAGTCAATTAGTGAATAGTTGACATTGTTTGACCTTAAGTTCAAACTTTTCTATCTTACCATTAATTATAAGACAAGGTTATTTTCGTCTAAAATCATATATTTTTCATAAAATCAAGATACGATTAATGAAATCCTTAATTCTGATGCAAAGCCAAAAAAACGACGATTAAAAGGAAACAGAAGGAATAGTAAATACCACATGAATGAAATGTAATTTGGATGGAGGAGAAGGTCTAGCATGAAAGATAAGAACCTGTTTGGATAGCCAAAGGATGATGCCTAAAATCTCCAATTAGGGTTCTATTAGTGCTAATTAATTGCACCACTTAACATATTCTTCTTGTTAAGAGCCCCTTAATCCAAAGTGGATTTAGGCAAGTCATCCTTGGCTACCAAACAAGACTCTTCATCTTCATACCAAACAAAGTGGATTTAGGCAAGTCACTCCATGTATATATACAGCCAGCTAACGAATATTTTTATTTTTATTTTTATTTTTATTTTATTTAAATAAGATGAAGATGAGATTCTAAATGAGAGATGTCTAATAAACCAACTATATACTGAAAATAAAAAAATAAAAATACAAAATCAGTTACATATTCACAAGAATTATTGAGGGCATATATTCTTTTATCTCTGACCAAATATTATTTAGCTGTCCAATTTTGTTTTGGTCATGAAATAAATTAGTTATGTCAACTAAGAGATTCGTGGTTGACTTATGATTTTGGCAATGAAATATGCTTGCTCGAAAAGTTGAAATCGACTTGAGCCTAATCGAGATGGACAACTACCTTTTACTTTATGCTACCGAATCCAAAATCGAAATCTCCTAGTCGTGACATTTCTAATTTTCATTTATGGGTCAGGGTTAGGACCGTAAATCAAATAAAACTATTTTGATACTCGGTTCGTGGTCGTTATTTTAATATTTGTTTAGGTTTTGACCCGTTAACGTAACAAATGAGGCTTAAACATATAATTTTTTTTGATAAACTATGAAATTGGGGGCGAGCACGATCGACTCTTGTTGCTCATCAAGGGAAGCTCAACTACAAACAAACTCTTGAATAACCATGTGTTTAGTTCAATCGATTCGTTTACATTCCTAATTAGAATAAATTTATCAGTCATGAGTTCGAATCACTTAATTAAAGAAAATTTACTGACAACTATTTTCATTCCATTACTATAAGGTAAAAACACTTTCAGAAAATTTTCTACTTTATTTATATATAAATTTTTAAAAATTTCACATCAACATAAATATGTTTATTTTTGCGTGTAAATAGTTGTTGACCAAATATTAAAATCTTATTAACAAAAGAAAGGTTCCTGGAGAAACCCTAGAAAACCCTAAGGTCAATTTTTCCCGCTCATTTGGAGGATATCTTAGTAATTAAATTAAATTTAATTTTCTAATCTTATTAAATTTCGTATAATCTTATAATTAAACACGTAATTAAATATTAATTTCTACTAATCCTTTAACTAATCTCCTAAATATTGGCATAAGTCTAAATTAATTTTCTAATACTATTTTTTCATATTTTATTAAATTTCATAATAATCTAATATTTAAACACGTAATTAAATATTAATTTCTACTAATCCCTTAACTAATCTCCTAACTATTGGCATAAATCTAAATTAATTTTCTAATACTATTTTTCATATTTTATTAAATTTCATATAATCTACTAATTAAACACGTAATTAAATATTAATTTCTACTAATCCTTCAACTATTCTCCTAAACATTGGCATAAATCTATCAAATCTTTCAATGACACGCACGTTTAATTATATATTAATTTCTACTAATGCTTCAACATTTTAAATCCACAACTTTTCAATGACACGGTTCCTCTATTTTTTATCACACGTTTCCCCAAAGAATTATCGGGAACAATAATCTAATATATATATATATATATATATATATATATATCTTAGAAGATCCGTGGATATCGTTTAGGTTTTCCCCACAAACTCTTTATAAGCATACCTCTCTCTGCATCTCTCTCCATCTCTCCCTGTATTTGCTGCTCCAACACCTCAGGTAAAGAAAGCCATGTTCTTTTTTTCGTTCCCTTGCTTTGGTCTCTGTTCTTTAATCTGTTTTCACTTGCTTCGGTCTCAGTTCGTTTGCCCAATTTCACCCAAATCTTAAATATCCTGATTTTTGTTTCATTGAAGGATTGAAGGATAAAGGATTTTTATTCATTGAAGCAGTTATGGCTCCACGAATTTCAACAACACAGGTTTCATTGCTTCATGAAATTGATACAAGCAGTATTAATTGGAAGATAATTGTACGGGCAATTCATCTATGGTTAGTGCCGGATTCTTTTCTATTTATTTATTTTTATTTTTGTTTTATATTTCCAATACTTAGGAGCTAACTATTTTATTGATTTTGTAATAGGGTATGCGTATTCATGCTACCATTAAAAAAGAATCTCATTATGAAATTTAAGGAATTGGAGAAAGAAGGGAAACTTATATGTTTCAAAATTTCTTGGTGGGTGATTCAAATTTACCATTTAAAGTATCTACGTACAGATTTAAGCTCAATTTTGTCGGAATGACTGTAGTTACTAATATAGTAGCCGAAAATATTCCGACAACCAACTTCAAGTTCGTTTCTTTCGACACAATAAAGAAGAATGTGGATGAATATTTACTATTTGTTACGCAAGTTTTTCATGTAACTTGGTTTGGTAAATGTTTGTTCTGTCTTACCATTAATCACTAATATATTTGTGTCGTCTGTATCACAAGGGTTATGTAGAAATCCTCTGTAATCAAAATAATGTTGCAATTTGATTCAGTATATAACTCTGGTACATTTGATTTAATTTATTTATTTGTACAGATGTAATTGGCCAATATGTGGTAGAGAAGGGGCATATAAAGGAGGTCACTACAAAAGGAGAGAAAAGCAAGCTTTTGGATGTTATTCTGCAAGATTTAGAGTAATTTAAATATTATATTTTTTTTACAATTTTTATATGGATTTATTCTTATAATATTTTTAGTAATTTATTTTACATTACAGGAAAAATACAATTAAATGTACTTTATGAGAAGCATTTGCTGAACAAATTGATGCATATGTAACGAATGCTGACTAAAATGGATTTACTGTGGTCATACTTCAGTGTTTCAGGGCTAAAACTTATTGTGGTGCGTGTTATAATTTACATACCCTAATATTGATGCATATTTAGGAATTTGTTAAAATATTGATGCATATTTTTGTATATTATTTCACCTGAAATCATACTTAGGAACCACGAGTTTGTCAAATGTTCGACATGGATCACAACTACTGATCGATCCGAATTTGAAAGAAGTTTTAGACTACAGGTATAAGTACTAACATTTGATCATTCAACTTTTAATATATATATATAACCTTGAGTATAATCATTCGTTATATATTTTAATACTTGTAAATTAACAGGCTTGCGTTGAGCGAAGAAGTCTATGTCCCATCAATTAGTCAATTATCGTCCCAACTTTCTTTGACTCGATCGTACGATCCACTCCAGGCAGATATAATGACCATAGATGAGTGCGTTGAGAGTACAAAGGTACGTTGATTTGTCGAACATATATCTGATATATTTTTACATGAACAAATATAATGCTTAAGAATCGATTGTTGTATATATATTGTAGGTTTGTGTTGGATCCGTGCTGGCGAAAATTCTGGAAATTGAGTCGGCAGCTAATTGGTGGTATGCTTCATGTAAAAATTGTGTGAAGAAGGTCGAACCCGTCTAAAAGAAATATTGGTGCGAAGAGTGTGACGGGTTTGTTCCTGCTGTACCAAGGTAATTATACTTTGATTTGGTAATATTTTACGAAATAAGTTCATTTGAATTGTTGCACCATCGTTCCTCTTGGTATTCGAAATTTGTATATAAAATATATATTTTTGTACAGGTTCAGAGTTCAGGTGAGTGCCATTGATAGTACTGGATCGACTTCATTCGTAATGTTTGATCGTATTGTCATGCAATTAATTGGACAAAGTGCTTCAGAACTCCTAGGTGGTGCATCAAACAAGGTATTGTTGCTGTAATAAGTTATGTACAATTAACTCTTTCATTTGCAATGACGAAAAATAAAAGTCAAGGTCAATCTCTTCAACATGTGGGTATATATCTTCAGAAACCAGTGTTTTCGCATGGACAATTATATGTTGCTATCTCAAGAGTTACGAGTCGAAGAGGCTTGAAGATACTTATTTGTGACAACGACGGGACACCTCCAATACTACTACAAACGTCGTTTATAAAGAAGTTTTCCAAAATCTGAGCTAAGTTATTTATATATTTGTTTAAATTTATATATGGATTTTTTGTCTT